GCTAACGCTATGCGCTATCTCATATCGCTAACGCTAGCTTACGCAGTTTGTACGCTACACCAACGCTATTTGTTTTCCCACCCACCCTCCACTAAGGTAAGTATAGGTAAGTATTCCACTACCAAGTCAGTGTGACGGTGCTAGGTGGGAGGTGACAGGGTTGCCATAGTTACCGCTGACCTCCGCCGAGTTCCCGAGGCTCCTCCCACCCAAGCACCAACGCCAAGCTCATCTACGTGTGATGAGTTTAATTATGTAAAGCTGATTTTCTCTAGACAGATCGAAATCAAGGGACTTTTCTTCCCCCACTGTGCAGAGCATCGAACAGGATGTTCAAGTCACGGCATCTGATCTGACATTTTATATTCATTTTGAAGTAAGAATTTAGCCATTTACGACCCTTTATCACAACGTTCTTGTTAGTACCACAAACCAACTGTAGTCCAACTCCACCTTCCCATGCTCCCAAACAGAGAGCCTCAACGCAGGCTATTTATAAGTAGTCTATTTATGTACTTAAAATGTCCTTAATTACATTTTTTTAAAAGAAAATTGTCCAAAAACACAGATATTCGTTTTGAATATTTTGTTGAGTGTACTATAAAATGGAAAATCACACGTCACCTTCTCGTACGACCCGAAACAAGAATTAGTACTCAAACAAGAAACGAAATCTGAAATCTGAAGTCTTCTAGATTTTTAGGAGCTATAATATTAAAGATCAAGAACAATCTTGAAATATATACATAATGAATTATAAATAGGGACGAAGCAAAAACTTGATACACACTCACAAACAAATCACAAACCTCACGAATATCGTGTAAAACTGAAGTCTATGCCTCATGCTCGTACAAAATTACAATACTTACCGTATATTGAAGGATAATTAACCCTCATTGTTCAAATAAGGYTGAGTTTGGAAGAAATATTTTGCCAGAAAATCATCGCCAACAAAAGCGTGCCTAAAAGGGAGAAACCACAAAAAGCTAGAAAGAGAAAGGCGTTCCTGACACAGGAGCGCTAGATAGATGGTAGCCTGGTACCGCGTCTTTGGGTAAGGCGCGGCGATCGAGACCTTTAACATCAGATTTACCGCTAATAATAGCCTGCGAAGAAAATTCCGGATGCGAGGCAGGCTACGCTAATAAGCGCTAAGCTGCCAACCCCCGCGTGCTTTATGACAGCATGCAGCACGCGCGAGCGTTTTCTATTTCTTCCATATGGCGGGTCTTCCAGCAACAACTTCGTTATGACGCCTTACTAAATGTTGTTTAACGCCTGACGTCGAACTGCAGTTTGAGGTTTGCGGTGCTAAAAAGAACGTCGTGCTAAAGGTCTCTAATAGCAAAAATTTTGACTTTCAATATAATATTTTCAAGTGTTCTTAAAAAGCAAATTAAACACTGGAATATAGACCCCTTGTGTGACGTCAAAGCAGCTCGATCTGGGGGACGAAACAAATGAATTCCAATCTCCTGAGAATGGGAACCCATTGTTTTGTCCCCCTGATTCAGCTACATTCCGAAGTGCTGCAAGGGGTCTATAGAAGTGTCAGATCAGATGCCATGACTTAAGCATCTTGTGCGATGCCATGCACAGTGAGGGAAGAACATTATAAGCGAAGCTGCGCGGGAACTGTCACCCTCATTACCTCTGCGCGCGCTACAAATTTTCTTTCATACAGAGTGGAGAGATAAACTCGTACCCAGTCGCTTCTTATGCTCATAGGAAGCTATCGCGAAATGCGTTATGGATGTAAAGCACTAATGCGGGGAATCATGGGAAGGAGAAAAGACGCGCCTTTGCGCACCACGATCCGTAACGGCAAAAGGTAACGACTGGGTACAAGTCCGGTGGAGAAAGCTTCTAGTTCATGCAACTGCCCGCACATTTAGCCCGTAAAAAACAAACATTTGCAAATGTACTGTATATACGCTGCTTCATATTCGTTGAAAAACATACACCTAAAAGATGAATAAATCTTAAACACTAATTATAACAACAGTTGTTCATGTTTACTAATCTTTATTGTGTTTTTATTGTTTTTCATGTGCTACTGGTTTTGGTAGCGTGTAATCAATTACTCAGGCGGCCATCTTGAAAAGTGGCCACGCCCTTTTCAAAATGGCTGCCCTGTAGGACAATATAAAGAATACTAATTGTCATATATTACTAGGATGCTTTGTACAAACCACGATTGCATTCTCTATATCAACAAAATCTTATTTTATCATAATTTTAATTATTTGTAGTTTATTTGCGGCTTCGAAGAGTGGATCTCAAGTATAAAATAAAAACTATGGGTACAATTACTAATCTTCCCCTCACACCTAAGGAARCATGTATCTTTACCTGGGGGGAGGGGGTGGGGACGAGTAAGCATCAACTGTGATAAAGTGAAAAGGCAATTTTACTTGAAGAAAATCGAATTTAAAGATCAAAGAAACAAAATATATACTAAATTTGAAATCCACTTTTCAAAGGACTGTTTCCCCCTCATTTTCCCTTAAATTTATATGACAAATATACTCTTCTACGACCAACAATTAATCAACTGCTTAACAACTAATAATTCTATAATGGAAAGTGACCAATATAAAGGCGCATACATCTTTTTTATACGTAATCTAAGACTTGTTATAGTGAGAGCCATGTTTTAAAAAAGAAAATTGAAAATTGAATAGAAATATAYGGAATAATACACAAGACCTGCTCGGTCCCGCCGACCCGCGCGCGAACCTGTTGAAGCAAAAAARCATCAAACAAACAAACGAACAAATAAACTAACACGAAAACAAATATAATTTGTACACCAATAATAGGTAACGGTCATGTAAATGTTATTCTTTAGATTATCAAATTCTTTAGACTTTTATATGTATAAAGCAGATTTTGTACGATCATGAAAATGGGTGCCAAAAGTTGAATTTAAGGTGATCTATGACGTCATCTATGGTTGGCTTGGCCCGCCCCCCTCCCCCCACGCTGAGGAATTCTAATCACTGTCTTTCCAAACTACGGGACATACCCAAAGACTTTGAGTGTCTTGGATTCCAATACTCTTGGAATGTGATATCAGAATTTTCAGTCGTACAAAACCTCATTTTACACTATAGCTTCTATATCTACAGGTTACATGACACAGTGTTCGCGCCGTCTGTCAATCAAACATCTGTCAATCATCTTGTCAATCAAGTACGACCCATCAACTGTCATGCAGGTTATAATATTTGCTCTGCTTTATCTGGTATATATGACTTGGCTAAAAATGACTGCAGCAGATTATTTCTGACATCAGAATTACATAAACCTGCTATCCAGGGATATGTCTCTCTGACCTGATACAAGTTACTTAGGTGAGTCATTACAAAAGGCTTACAACAGGCAAGTGTGAGCTCACGTGACAATACGATGGTCTCTGGCGGGAATATTTCAATGTCATGTAGTATGGTAATGGTACGTCATGTGCGACACATAAATGGTTTCCTGTTGCTATGGAAGTCTTGTTCGACATGCAGTTGGAATGCAACGCTTTCTTTTGTTCTATTAATAGAAGCAACTTTACATATATTAAGGCTTTCGTAAGAATAAGAATAAGAAAAAAAGTGTAAGAAAGACTGCGTAATGTCACAAGAGCTCTACTCTTCCCCATTCATGGCCAGGTTTGAGTTAAATTCTCGGTTACAATGCTAGTCAAAACCCGCGAGACGTAAGGTTGAACCCGCGAGACTTCCTTGGACCTACAAGACATTACTAGGATTCCGTGAGAAAATCTCCTTGATGGATCATGCGCGGGACCCGTGACATGATCCCGTAGATCGGGAAGAATCATCTCCTAAAGTAACGGGACGACGCCCTTGACCCGATTAAACATGCGCGGGACCTGACATGATCCCTTAGACAAGGAAAATCATCTCCTAAAGTCACGGGACGATGCCCTTGACCCGATTTAACATGTGCGGGACCTGACATGATCCCGTAGACATGGAAAATCATCTCCTAAAGTCACGGGATAATGCCCTTGACCCAATTACAAAGATCAAGGAGATTTCTCAGTTTCCAATAATATCTTGCGATATTATTCTTTAACTCTAACACAGAACTCTCCACTGGAGAGAAAAATATCTCATATAAAGCCATACTCTATATTTTATAAAGTCACCTACTGGCGGCCATATCGTCAGTCTTATCGTTCATCAACGGGCTACGTGCTCTAACCTTGTCTGCCAGCTCATCTGCTGGGGAGTCCCTGTCCAGAGAAACTGCTTCGTCATCGGTCAAGTCACTACATCCCAGATGCTCAAAACTGTCCGTGTTTTCGTCAGTAATACTACTATGCTCCTGTGGGGAGAGGGGTGGGGCGTCAGGTGCTTCGATACTATCGGCCCTCGTCAACACGTTTCGACCAGCAGGACTGGTGTTAGCCGCACCACTTCTAGATTTCTTGAGTTCCTGGTTCTCTGCTTCCAGGGCTCGTATGTGTGAGAGTAGAGCAGCTTGGTTTATCTGCATGGTGTGGATGGACGTCTCAAGGCTATGAATAGTCTTCCGTGCACTGGATAACTGTTCTGTTAGCTCTTGTAAGTGTCTACTTAGTGTATTGTTCTCCGTCTCTAACTTAATTGCACGCTCGTGCTCAAATTCTTCGATGGAGGCCAAACTCAAGTCTTCTTCTCGTAAGACGTTGTATTCTATCTGGTAAGAATGGAGCTTCTTTGCCACGTCTAGGTCCAAAACCTCTTTGACGATGGAATCCATGTTCTCGACGGCGTATGGGGGTAGTGCGGTCTTGATCACTTCCATCGCATTTTCGAAGCCATCTGTGGCCATGATTTCTTCTTTACAACGCCCAAACATTGCAAGCATTACCTGTGCAGGGAGAGAGAGGGAACTTAGCATACGTTACCTCAGCTATATGAAAAAATACTTCAATTTTATCAAGCGTTGAAACAACCTCTGGATTGGTCATGGGCATGGCTGGCTCACAGATCAGTTGGAATTTAGCTTGTTGGGTTTTGCGAATGAAGGAAGAACCCGGGGAAAAAGCCGTGTTGCGCCGCGTTGTGTCGTCTCGGAATTGTGTCGTGTTGTGACCGTGACTGTGTCGTGTCCTGGTCGTGTCGTGCCAGGACCGTGACGATGTCGTGTTGAACCACTGTGATAAGACGGGTAGAGTAATCTTGCACTCACATACACATACCTTGAAAACCACAGTCAGCCCGTGAAGAAATATCATGTCTATAAACAAAATAACAACTATCAGTACTGTTCTTTTGATTTAAAACCTCGTAGCGTTTTTTACGCACAAATTGCGACGCGCAGCAAAAAATATCAGTACTTCATGAAGTTGTGAGCGCTTGGGTTATAATTGGATTATGAAATAGGTAATAAATATGTTTAGAAATGGGACAGAGAAATGGGACAGAAAAATGGGATAGAAAATAAATAGCAATTTGGATGGTAACTGTTGATGGCTTCCAACCATTCCCAAAAGACCGAGACAAAGACATGTCGGCGATGTAGGTGGTATAACAAAGATGCTATTGAGAAATCTTTTAAATAGTTAAATACCACTAATATGGCGGCCATGACAAGTGATATTTCGTTTGACTCACCCATGACACGAACTACAAAACCAACAGAGAACATGGAGGCAAAGAGAGTAAGGAACCAAGCCGCAGAGTACAGGGTGGGGGTGATTTCAAGCTCCTCTAACAGGGAATAGAGTTCGGGATGGAAATCGTGAAGAAGGCGAGACAGCATGTAGAACTGGATCTGTGGACAGTAAAACAGAATATTCTAAACTATTTTTCCTCAAGACCTCAACACTATCGTAAGAACGCAACAGACTCAGTTAAAAACTTTTTAGACCTTGGACCTAACAGGTACAACAGGAGTGCTTACTATTTAAACCAATCCATCAGGTTGGAAATTCATTAGCTCATGGTAAGAAAAGAGCGGGAAACTTTGACTTTCGAAAAATGGTAAACGCGTCTACCGAAGGAACCGAAAAGAGCGGGAAAAGTAGATTTCCTCAATCGGAAGAATGAGTTTTCGGGAACTTTCCGATTGGAATGATGCATACCATTTGAATTTCCGGTTTTTCCGGGTACATGAATAGTAAGCACGCCTGGTCGCCTTCAATTCTGATTCTGACGGTAATGCCTTTCGTCTTTGAGGGGTAACCAATCAAAAAACTGTCCCAAATTGAAAGGTTTCTTAATTGAATTTATACTATACTTGCTTTTATCTGTACAATACTGATTATCAGTTTATTCCAAGTTATTTTTGCGTGTGCAGATCATCAAGAGTTTTGTTCTTACAGAAAATGTATTGACTTACGAAAAAATGTTTAAAATTTACCTTAAACGTCTTCAAGCTTCTATCTTTTTCTGTTTTTTTTTTACTTCTTCATTTTATTTTTGGATACCAAACAAGGTATTATCAACATTATCTGATCAGCCTTCAGCAAAATAAGTGGGTTTTTACCCTCTGGTTACCCCCAAAGACAAAAATTATTATGGGGACGTGAAAGTAGAGAATACCCTTGATATTAGCTGATGATGACGCAGTATTACATCTCACCTGTAATTCCTGCATATCAGATTTGTACAGTTTTCTCAGGTTGAGATTATACATCAAGTGACACATGGTATCAAATGCCTGGTTCTCGTCCATATGCATGAGTAGGATTCCTGCCACAAAGCTAAGTCCCTGGCAGTAACCAACCTCTGTATCCTGCACGGAATATGCCTTGAGGAGATTGAACAGCGATAGCTGGCCAGGACCAAACTGTGACATGAAAAATGGATGACTGGGAAACGTACGGCCTGTTGAACAACATCGATGGGTAAGTTAAGTTATGTTAACAGAACTGTTAAGTGGAGTATTGAAATCCAGTTAAATAAATGATATAAGCCAGTCAATCCCTCTCTTATGTTATATACAGCTATTTCAAAATATACTGCATTACTGAATAGTGTACTCGACTCATGTCATTGTGGCAGATAATAACAACAGCCTTTTGGAGGCCAAGTTCAGGTTAAACGTACATGCTTTAATGTATCCAAGATATTATAATTTTAAGTACAGAATGGTTTTATTTACATTTTAGCTTTATTGTAAACCTGTGTTGCGCTATTTAGTAAGCAGTATTCAATATTTAACATTCAATATTTTTTGAAATAAAAACGTATATTTACAACAAGGGGCTCTTCCGTGAGGTTCACCCCATACACACTACTGCTACATTTACTTTCCAAAACACACAACACTCAACTCATATATCGATTTTTAAGGAGGGCAGAAAACTGGAGAACAATGTGAAAAACCCTTGTAGCAAGGGTGGGAATGATCAATTCAAATATGTGGTTCAGTCGAGAATCGAACCTGTGACCCCAGGCTGAAAGTCATTTCAATATGTTCTATTGCAAGGAAGCTCAATTTAATTCAAATTTAATTCAGAAAATTGGAATTGGTTCACTGATGATTACTCACCCAGGTCAATGAATATCGAATGCTGGTGTAAGCAATGTCCTTCCCGCATTTTAGAGTACGTCCCTTTTTGCCAGGAATCACTTTTCTCTTCATCTGCGTCCATCATGTATTGATTTGCCAGGAACACCCATACTTCTCCTCTCCTAGCTTTTGGTACACCTAGATTGAATTCAACAAATATAGTTAATAGAATCACAGTAAGTCAAAAGCTAGAGTCATTCAATGTACCAAAATGGTCTTCACATGCAGAGTGGTAGAAAAAAAGGTAAAAAGGTAAAGGTAATTTGTTTTACTTCGATAACGCGCGGAGTGGTTACCCAAATCTCCCGAGCCAAGGGCTCATGTTTAATGCGCTCGAAGGTGTACCCTTTACCCCCTCTCACTATCAGCGCTCCTTTTTACGGGTATTTAAAGCTAATTAAAGCTACACAGAACAGAGAGAAGTCGAAACAGATGTGGAGTTCCTGAGGATCGAAATATGGACCTCTAGCTCTGAATGCCGCACACTGAACAAACTGAGCTACGCCTGCTCCGTAACAGCCATGTTAGAGAGCAAGACATGGTTCCCTTTCACTTCATAAAACAAAATTCCCTGATTTCCACTGAATTTTCTCTGACCAAATCCAACTTTTCACTGACTTTAACGAATACAAGTTTAGAACCATTTCTATTCAAACGTCTTGATTCCAGAAAGTTACTCTCTTCTGAACTTCAACAAAATCCCAAAACATTGTTTTCAAGTCCAAATTGACCCCAGCATGTTTGCCGTCAARCCACTCCATAGAGTTCATCATGATAGATTTAATCATTATCCCTTGATGTGCAATGCACCACAGGGCATAATTCAACGTTCAGACTCAGACAACAGCAAACGAATCACTGTTGCAACGCAGTGATTTCCAATAAACTTGTCCCAAAAACAACTGACAATATCTGCTTTCATAGGTTCTACTATGAAAATCACTAGACCACGGCATGGCACCCTGTTGATTTTCCCTTGGTCCACCGGCCATCGAAATCTGTCACATGAAAGCTTTTTATGTACAAAATGATTTTTTTTATTGTCTAGCTCATAGAACATCAATTTTAGTTCAAACACTCACCAGCCTTGACGGCTTGCTGTAACAAAAATTTATCAATCTTTACATCAGATGGGGTTGCCAGAAGCTTCTCCCATTGATCAGCGGCTTCAGGACTACAACTGGGACCATCATAAGCTAGCTTGAGCCTCTTGAGTTCCACTGATCTTTGGATATCTTTGTAAGAAAACATGAAAAGAAACTGTATTTGTATTTTACTTTTATAAAGAATTCTTTAACGATTTTGTTATTAAAATGGAGATTTTTTTTGTTAGGATGCAAGGTTTTTCCTCATTCAAACAGTACATGTGTCATTCCCTGGCATTTCAAATCTACAATCTTGGTCAAAAATGTTGAGAAATTTTTGGTTTTTGATGGTATTTTCATGAAAAACATGAAAAATTCCCCTTAAGGTGGCTGCCTACTTTTGAACGTTCGATTTGAGCCCACGATGAGCGCGCGCTCAAAAACCGCTGAAAAATCTACAAGATTTTATTGAAGAACCATATGCGTTTTGAGCTTCAACAGGGCAAAACCCTCAAATTTTGCACGGGACTCTATATTTTTTGATAGCTCATTCGAAAAAAGTCCTAAAAATCTAGGTTATATCAACATTTTAGGAAAAGTTTAAATCAGGAACACGTGAAAAAATAGAATTTTGTAGGGATTTTTGTTCGACTTTATGAGATTTTTTAAGAGCACCGAAACTACAAAATATGACAAATCAATGTATCTCTCTGTCTTTTTGTCGAAAATATCCATGTATTATTGTAGAAGGATTGACTAGCCTTCGTTCGTGCAATCATATAATCTGCAAATAACTATTATCTTATTAATCTTAATTTTTTTCTAATCACTTCCGGTGGTGCAATTTTTACTCCAAAAGCTCGTGCGTAGGCTTCCATTAAATGCTGATTATCTCGAAAACGAGCTCGGGACACCCTTTTTTTATTTCCAGATTTGGAATCAGCATTAAATTTCAATTTGGAAAATCGAAGTTTTAAAAAAAGCTTAAATCTATTTTCAAAAGTAGGCAGTCACCTTAAAAAGACCCCTCCCCCGCCCCTAAACAATGTTGTTTGGAGGGATACAGGGCTGCTTTGCCTAGAGGTGCCAACATTGTCCTGTGAGTGAGGGGGTACGGACAATATTTTTTCTAATAAGGGAAATTCTACTATTTCATGATTGGATGAAACATTCTCAACTCTTTTTGTCCAAGATTGTAGGTTTGGGTAGCATCCATTGATGTTGCATGCAAGGGGTCTATACTGTAGGAAAAACTAGTACTATTTGTCTTACCATCCAGTGTTTTATTCTCTCTGTCCATTCTTATCAGGAGTATCTGTTCCATTATTATCTTTCTCCATAAGGCTCTTAGCTCCTGGCTAGATCTTTTTCTTCCAGTCATCTCACTCAATGAAATCGTCGTATCCATATCTGGTGTTGTTAAGTGATAAAAAATCTATAGTTGAACATTTTTCACGAAACTGGGATGTTGCACATAAGAGGGTTTTTTTGATCAATAAAAGCACTGCTGTTAGAKTGGCCAAAAAAACCTTTTCATCAAACCTGGAAAAAACCTCTGGACTGATCGGTGTCAGAGCACAGGTAACAGATGAAAATTGGATTGTAGTGCGCTAGATTTTATGGAAGAAGGAGAACTGTAGAACCCAGAGAAAAACCCTTGAATCGAGGGAGATACCTAACAAACTCTACTCAATGTGAAGGTAATAATAAAAGGGTAAATTATACACCACGAAAAGATGAAAAAACTGACTGACTTTTTGGTAGCTAGTCCTTCGTCCGAGTAAAAGAGAAAGAGGTGGTAGAAAGGAGTGTTTATTATAATGAGAATAAGACAAAAGAAACCAATGAGAACAAGGTAGGCAAGGAAACGAAAAAAAAACAATCAAAAGACAAAAGAAAGGGTTAATTAAAAGCAAAGCGTTCATTAATCTCGTTGGGACTAAGAGTGCCCAATAGGTGAAGAAGCCGCACTAGCATCTGAAAAGTCAGTTATTTCATCTTTTCATATGTGATGGTGGGGCGGGAACCTAAAGCAAGACCCCAGTGGGGAGAGGAGAGATCCCTACCACTACACCATCATTGATTCCTACTTAGAGCAACTCACCACTAGAGACACTAGAATGTCTCTTTGAAGGAGTCACAACACTGTTAAAAATGTTCTGAAAGAAAAATAGTGGAAAAGGTTACTTCAAAACACTGGCGGGGGGGGGGGGGGGAAAACAAAAAAAAAAAAAAAACAGTGAAAGAAAAAAAAGAAATAGCAGGAGCAACAGAAGCAACAAAAACAATAACAGCAGCAGCAGCAACAACA